GGGGGGGGGGGGGGCTCGTTTGTTGTCTGCATCAATCATTTGCATCAGTCATGAGACGGTGGACCGCGCACCTCACGTGGGACTGGCACCTTACTTACGGAGCCACCATCACCAAAGACTGCTCGTTCTCTACGCGATCGCCTAGCCATTGCGTTGGAGTGCTAGGGGGAACAGAAGAGCCATTGGGTATTGAGCTTTCGTTTTCTGTTCCGGTGGCGTATCGGTTCCACTCGAAGTGGGAGCCAAACGACGACAGGAAGTCGGACGTGCGGAATATTGGCGGAGGCGGGGGAACGCATGGCTGGCGAATCGCGATTCGCGGAAATACTCTCGGGTTATCACGGCGTACCAAAAATCATGCAGAGCGAAACTCCAAGACTCCTTGTCCGTGGTAGGATAGACCATAGGCTCTCTCCAAAGTCAAAAGCCAACCAAAGGGCTGGCAAACCAAGCCAAGCTGCTAGGACCGCAAGGGATGGATGCCACACGCATGGCATGCGGCGGCACAGGCATCGACACAGCGACGCGGGCAGAAATAAACACCGCTTCCGCAATCGCATCCATGTCATGCTAGCAGGCCCCGATTCGATCCCGTCTATGAGTGGCTTACGATAAAAATTGAAATAGACGAACTAAAAAATATTGACTAGTGAGCGCTAACTAGTACGTCGATGATGATTGGATTTCGGCTGCTATAGGCTCAACTGGTGCTGGCGAACGCGCTGGGGCGTCCAACTGCACATATGCGTCATCGAACGCCGGAAGGCCTAGTTACAACCTAGCCTTTTGACACACCTCCACATCCCGTCCCTGCCTAGCTTCGAAGCAGCGCTGGTGAGCACGACAGGGGTGCGGGAGACCCCTGCCTCTCGGAGCGCGGCCACGACCCCCTCCAGCACCTGCCTCGACACCGAGTTGTCCGACTTATCCGCCTTCGTCAGGACCACAACGTACCTGCACGACACGTGATGATGCATCATTCGCGGCGACGGCCGCGGCGGGGGCGGTCAGATGCTTTCGCTACGTGCTCGGTTCGCCGTTTACCAAGCATCTCTGCTAACGTGAAAACAGCAAAATTATTACAACAGAGTCAAACAAGTAACAAACAAGACGACGCCGAGAAGGACTACCGCCAACGAAGCAAATAGAACTAACAACGTCAACAAAGCCGGAAAAATAACAACACGATCCGACGACGACGACAAGAACGAACCTCGCCGTGTCGGGAAGCTCGGCCATGAGCTTCATGATGGCGTGGTCCTGACCCACGGGACCATGGCGACCGTCGATGAGATGGAACAGCACGCGAAGCGATGACCTCCGCGTGATGTAGCTCCGAAACAGGGTCGACCACTCCTTCCGCTGCTTCTCGGGCACCTGTTCCGATCCCGGCGCGCGGCATGTGCACGGCAGCATTGTGCATGGTCGCGTGTCGATCGATGCTTCCGGGTAAAGGGAGCATGCACATCGTGACTACAAAAAAATTATCGCTTCAAAAGGAACAGCCAACGGCCGTGCGTGTGTCTGAAAACTATGCCCCCCGCCGCGGCCCGCCGTTCCTCTTCAGGAATGTACTTTGTCCCGTTTTTGCTTCGCTTTCATCTGCTTTTGTCTGTTGCGCGGAAATGTAGTTTGTTATTCTCACCTTCGCGTACCCCATGCCCGGCAAGTCGACGAGATAGAAGGAGTTTTCGGTGTTGTTGTTCATCAGGAAGTAGTTGAACTGCTGGGTCTTCCCCGGTCGCTTCGATGTAAACGCTAACGCCTGCTTGGGGAAAAGGTTCAAACCAAAATCAAAGGTTGAACAAGGGTACCAAAAAAGGGAAATATCATGAGCTTGTTGCCAGCGGTCTGGTTGCGATGCTCCTTCAGAGTACAAGGTATTTCTCGTCTCGCTTTACTCTGAAGACCAGCATCGATTAACCCCGCGCTCGCCCTCACTGCCAGTGTCTATTGGATGACCACTTGCTGCTTTAAGGTTACCCCGCTTCGTCCCTCTCTAGCCCCCCCGCCTGCCCACACTCCTAAACACGGGTTAGACGACGCTGTTTGGCTGTCGTACCGGCAACGTTGTCGTGTCCTCAAAGCCCGCGTAGAAACAGGCGGATGATAGGGCAAACATGAAACACAAAGATACAAGCTTATCGAGCAACCGTGGATAGAGAGCGGATGGTATGCTAATACGTGGAAAACACACAACACACACGTATCAAGCAAGACGGTTCGAAGGGCAACCCATCGATACCTTGCGGTTGCAGACCATGTTGATGAGGCTGCTCTTGCCGACGTTGCTCCGCCCGATGAACGCCGCTTCCGGCAGCACCGGCTCCTTTGGAAGAGTCGCCATGCTAACCGCGCCCTGGTAGGCACAAGAGGGGATGCCAGCCAGCCAGACAGACAGACAGATAGAATACAAACGTTGAACTAGACCCTACACATGTCGGCCTCAAAGTTTTGCAGGGGGATTATGGTGGTGCACACTTAGTTAGCAACCATAAAAATAAAAAGAGACCCAACACAGCGCAACACAAAAAGAAACACATGAGGGCGCGCGTATTTTGCCAAGCACGTTCCAGCTTGGCGAGGATCGGCATGGGCCCAGTTGATGCAACAACACCACAAGGGCAACAGCAGAGCAGCAGCAGAAAGGCAGTAGAAACAGCAGCACCAGCAACACCAACACCACTACTAAATAGCGACAGTAGCAACAATATCCGAAGCAGAGGT